GCCAAGGGCATGTACCTTGGTTGCGGGCACATCCCCAGTAGGAGGTGTGCAGGAGGCAGCTGATGGATGTTTCTCTCTCATCGATGTTTCTAACTCTCTATCCCTCTCCCTTTCTCTCTGTGAAAAATCAATAAGATATATTAAAAACAAAAACAAAAAACCCTTAAATTACCAACAACAATTCAAGACAATTATCTTGTCAATCGAATGAGCTGGACTTGATGAAACTGTAGAGAGAACTCAACCTTATTTCTTTTTACCAATTCTTACTAACCTTGCCCTATGGACAATTTTTTATTCTCTCCTAGCTGTCATCTCACATTGGCCCATAGCTTTTCCTGTGACTCTGATAAAGTAAAGAACCCAGGCCATCCAATAATAAAAAGTACAGCTGAGTGTGTATGTGCATCTACACTCCACACCCACATGATGTGCTCTATGCACACACACACACACACCCCATTCACATCTCTCACTGTCCTGGAGGGTGAGCAAAATGTGGGATTAAGAGCCTGGAACCTGGGTTCAAGTTCAGGCTTTGCCCATGTCACACAGCACCTAAGAGGTAAGAACAGACACTAACCTCGTTGGGCCTCAGTTTGCACACCTGTGAGATGAGGCTGCGGTTAACATGCACTTGGCAGGGTCGGTCCTGGAAAGATGTGAGATGACATCCGCGGAGGCACCTGGCTCCTGCAGAAAGGAAGCCCCTTGATGATCCATCTCTCCCCATCTGACCTTGCACCTGGGAAAGCGCCTGTCACTCACGGTCCTCTGCTCTGCCCCCTTCTCCATGAAGAACAAACTGGGGATCCCTGACCTGCCTCTGGCTTTGAAATAAGCTCCCCGAACGTTGACCTGTGCACAAATGTGTGATGCAACTTTGCAAATTAAATGTGTAACGCTTTTAGGAAAACGGTGCCCTTTCCTCCCTGCTCCCCCCACCATGGGGACCAGGTGACTTGTGGGCACATCTGTTACAGGTGTTGGGGAAGAGGTTCGGAGATATTCTTAGATCATAGCCTGGGGTCTGAAGGTGGACGAGCTGGCCCCTGGGACACAGTGATGCCTGCAGCATCGGTCGGGTGACAGGAGCGAGGCAGGAGGGCCTCTGAGCAGGGCTGGGCCTGGGCAGGTGACCAAGATTAGTAAGCAGATCAGCAAGCAGAAAAGCCACAGAGAACTAGGACTGACGTCGGGGGCAAGGAATGGAGGCAGGCACCCCTAACCCAGACACACACCTACACCCTTATTGATCAGATATTACAGATATGCCCTGGCCCTCGCAAGCAACTGAACCCCGCCGGGCCTCAGCGATCTCCTTGGTAAGGGAGGAGCCCAGGCCTGCTTAGCTCATGGGCTGAGGCGGTTCTGGCTGGTAGCACTTTAATTTACAGAGTGCCTGCTGGGCACCAGCATCGTGCCAGGTGCTGAGGGAGAGGGGCGGAGGATCAAAGAGAAAAAGAGGAGATGAAATCATCCCTCTTGCCTGAAAGAGCCATCATTCTTCTTCAAGTCTTGCCATGACGCCTCATTTTTCTCAGCAGAAAATCCTGACTGTGTATCAGGGGCCTACAAAACACTGGGGTCCAGCCCCGTGCTTCTATCAGACGCTGCTTGTAATGCTCCCTTTGTTGCTCTAAAAAAAAATCAGAGGTAATAGAATTCATCTACACACAAGATGTTTGAATCAGTACAATGCCTTAGCTTTCATATAAAGGGGGAAAGAGCCCAGCCGGTGTGGCTCAGTGGTTGAGCGCTGACCTATGAACCAGAAGGTCACAGTTTGATTCCCAGTCAAGGCACATGCCCAGGTTGTGGGCTCGATCCCCAGTAGGCGGCATGCAGGAAGCAGCCAATCCATGATTCTCTCTCATCATTGATGTTTCTATCTCCCTTTCCCTCTCCTTCCCTCTCTGAAATCAATAAAAAATGTATTTTTTAAAAAGAGGGAAAGAGAAGTAATTTGTAATAAAACCATTTGCATTTCACTATATAGATTCTCTGACACGACTTCGCTAATCAACACAAGGGCTTGAGTTTGTGCGTGAAGCCAGGGTGAATGCCGCAGCCCCTAACACAGACTGACAACAACAACGGGCGTGTTGTTTTGGAGACTCAAATACCATGAGTGATGTTGCCATGGGTGACGTGATTTTCCCAACACGGTGGACACTGCTTGGCAATATTCCAAACAGAGCACCGTGCAATCTTCCCTTAATCTATAGTAGTTCCATCCCCAGACGATTCCATGGATAATGGAGGCCGTGTTAAAACTACCTTCTGGCCCAATTGCTGTGGCTCAGTGGTTGAGCACCGACCTATGAACCAGGAGGTCACAGTTCACTTCCTGATCAGGGCACATGCCTGGGTTGCCGGCTTGATCCCCAGTGGGGGGCATGTAAAAGTCAGCCAATCAATGATTCTCTCTCATCATTGATGTTTCTATCTCTATCTCCCTCTCCGAAATAATTTTAAAAATGATATTAAAAAGTACAAATACCTTCTGTTTATATAAATAAGAGAGTTATGTCCAGACTCAGATCATTAGAAATTGCCTTTTCACGTACATGCGTGTCTATTAGGACACCCCGAATTCATGCAGGACCCAGGAGCGCCCATCTTTGTAAAGGACTGTTTCATGCACTGCTTGAAGTCTGGATCCTTGGTGCCTACTCACTGAATTTATGGCCTCCCACTGCCTCCATCACTATCCCCAGTAAGCTCTAGGAGCAATAGGGTCCCCTTGGGAACCTCTGATCCAGCCCCTGCCTACCTCTCCAACATTGGTCTTGTCCTACTCGCCCCTCGTTCACTGCGTTCCTGGCCACACAGCTTTTCTCCGTCCTGCCGACACATCGCAGGGCCTTTGCACATGCTGTTCCTTCCACCAGGGTTGCTCTTCCCCAGCTGGCCACACGGCAGCCTTTTCATCCTTTGCGTCTCAGCTCCCATGACATTTCTACAAGAGCAGCTTTCCCCGGCACCTAATCTACAGTAGCACACACAGGCCCACCCTGCCAGTCTCAATTCAACCATGTGACCTGTTCCCGTCCCTCAGGGCACACGTCGCCCCTGAAATGATCCCTCTCCAGGTTGTCTTCCCCACCCGACTGGCATCAGCCAAGTTTTCTCTGAAGGGCCGGAGAGCAACTATTTTAATTTTGTTGGCTATGTGGTCTCTGTCACAACAACTCAACTCTGTATTATAGCTCAGAAGCAGCCGTAAACAGTAGGGAAACAAATGGGCGTGGCTGTGTTCCAATAAAGCTTTATTTACAAAAGCAGTAAATAAAACCCAGGGGATTGGATTTGGCCCATTGGCAGTAGTTTGAAGCTCCATGCCTGTCTCTTTTATTCTTGGATCCCTCGGGTCTAGCACAGTGCGGGGCCTGTGAGGGGAACTGAACAGTGTATGTTGAAGATATGGGTTTGTCCCGTGGGAATGAGGAACAACAGAAAACGTGAAAAACACCCACCTATTCTTAGCACCTACAGAAGCATTTGTATGTCGGTTGTCCAACCAGCACTGCAAGAATCCTGAGAAGGGAGGGCAGGAGAATTCAAGGAGGGCTTCCTGGAGGAAGTGGCCCTGACTAGCAGCTGAAGGAAGAATGGAATTTGGGCCATGGTAATCATGGCACTCACTTGTTCAATCATTAATTCATTCATTTGGGGGACTTTTTAAATCATTCATTCACTCAGTTGGGGGACTTCTGCTGAGTGTCGAATCGATCGGGCGCTGACAACACAAAGATGAACAAGCAGAGCTCCCAGGGAAGGGGGAGCCTTTGTTCCTGCTGTCAGGATAGTTTTGGATTCCAAGGACTCTGTGGCCCAGTCACACTTCTGTGTGGAACACATGGAGAGAGGGGGCCACAGCCCAGAAGCTACGAAGGGTCACGAATGACAAAAATCCCCGAAGGGTTGCTCTTAGTGGAGTGACTAAGAGCCAGGCTTTGGGATCAGAGAACCCCTCACTCATTCCTTTGTTGGCCCATTCTGTCAATCAGGTACTTTTGGGGGTCAGGCACAGTGCTGAGCTCCAGGGGAACAGGTGAACACGCCAAGGAAACTTTGTGCCTGCACCTAACCTGGTCGTGAGGGGACCACCATACACAAGGGAACTACCGCGCAAACAAGGTTCCAAGCTGGGCTAATGTAACAGGATCAGAGGGGCAGTGGGAGGCAGACCAATCAAGGAAGGCCTCTCAGAGGAGGCGGCATTTGAGCTGGGCAGGGGAAGCAGAAGTCAAGAGAAGCAACAGCCAACGTCCAGAGCCAGAAACAACAAGGCCGTGGAAGACCAGGAGGGAAGCGGCTAGGGAGGCTCCCTGCCTCCACCTGAGGCTTTAGGGTGGAGAGCAGCCCTCAGGATGCCTGGAAATGAGGACAAGACAATGTCACTCCCCGCCCGTGAGAGGGGGACAAGGAGACAAAACACTGGTCCCAACAGTGGGAGAACCGAAACAAAGAACAAACAAAAAGCGGGGGTCAAAACTGAGCCCCAAGGCCCTCTTTTTCTAACATAAACCATTGGCCTTCACCTAATGCTGATGTGAAACCGAGGGAGCCGGCAGTCAGCAGCCTGAGCTCCGAGGCCTCCCCAGAGACCACGCCTGGTGGCTGTGTCATTCAGGTGCCACCTAGAGGACCCCGGTGCTGCGATGCTGAGAATCGCAGATGATCTTTTATTAGCTGACACGCAAAGGCTCTTTCCCATCTGCATCTGCCTTGAGATAATGCCTCGGAAGAGAGACGAACCCATTTAATAAACAGCACGGGCTTCTCGCCCCTTCCATGAGTGGGCGACGCTTTCAAGCCCTTCAGAACTTCGTCACCCACACCAGCAATCTGGGGGCGCTCGTCTGGGGCCCGCTGGCGACATGTGAACGCCAGGCTCGCGCAGCGACAAGCGGAGGAAGGCACAGAACTCTACCTCGCCACCTTTTTAATGAGTAAAATCCTCTGGCTGCCGCCGGGCCCTCCGAGACCAGCGATTAATGAGTGCTCAGAATAGACTGTGCCTGTTTTATACGTGTACGGTGGCCTGGGAGAGACACTTCAATTTCCATGTTACATCTGCTGCCACATTCAAGTGTCTCCTTCGGGGCAGGAAAACACTTGGCAAACTCTGTCTTGAAAGAGACACGTTCAAAGAGAGCGCTCCCTCCCCGCAGCCACATTCTATATGTGAGCACTTTTCAATTTTCAAAGTATATATTTAGATTATGTACATGAAGATCGGCGAGGTGCCGGGAGGCAGCACACAGCCCTGCCTGCCTCTCGGGGCTGCGAGAAGAGGGGCTTTGCGGTTTGTCCGAGAACGCAATGGCTTCATTCATCGAGATGGGGACGGTGCAGGGGACGGGGACAGCCTGAGCTTGGTCCTATTTGCAGACCCTGGGCCCAGCCAGCAGACCATGCGGGTCCTTCCTGGATGAGCAACGCCATGTCCATGGAGACTCCATGCTCAGTGTGTGAGTTGAGATGCGAGAAGGGGGGCTGGACCGAGAGCCTGAGCCGGGTGGGGCCCCGAAAGGAGGTGTGACTGGCCTGCGTCCACCTGGGGACAGGTGATGGGGCTGGAGTCAGGAGGCAACTTATCAGGTCTTTCCAAGATCAGAGGAGGGTCTTGAGTGGATCAGGAAAAAAGAGGAGGAGGAGGAGGAAGAGGAGGAGGTGGAGGAGGG